ACCGGTGGTAGCTCTGTGACACTCTGCAGTGGAATTGTTGCCAGAGATGAAAACTTTTTTTTTTCTGAGTCTCTTCTCATTTTTATTTTTTAAAAAAGATTTAGGAATGGGAAGAAATGACTAAGTTACTTTATTTTTTAAATCTGTCAATGCTACAGTAACTGAATAAATAAGATTTTTTAAAGTTCAATGTTTATAGATATTTATTAAAAGTGAATTATAAGCCATTAAATAATGATGATATACACCAGGAAGGGATTTAAGCAAGAAAAGTCACGTCATTTCACCACAAGAAATAAATAAAGACTATAGCTGGAGTTTGATAGCCACAGCTTTAAATCTTTTTTTTTTTTTGAACATTTTTTTAGTTGTAGTAATAATACCTTTATTTTATTTATTTATGTGGTGCTGAGGATCGAGCCCAGTGCCTCACACTTACTAGGCGAATGCTCTACCGCTGAGCCACAACCCCAACCTAGCTTTAGATCTTGTGGTAGAATTCCCAGCTCTGTCAGGTCTTTATGGTAGAATCTTTCTTATGCTTCTTAGCTGGAATAAATAGAAAGCAGTTAGGAAATTTCTTGCCCTGTGATCCTAACAATGTTAAAAAGAAAACACTCTTTTTTAGCAAGCCTGATATGGAAAAGAGAAGGAACAATTACAAATGTTTTGGTGGCACTGAAAATCCTATGAAGATGGGCTGGGGTTGTGGCTTGAGGGTAGAATGCTTGCCTAGCATATGTGAAGCACTGAGTTCGATTCTCAGCACCACACACATTTTTTAAATAAATAAAATAAAGGTCCATCAACAACTAAAAAATATGTAAAAAAAAAAAAAAAAGAAAGAAAGAAAGAAAAGAAAATCCTATAAAGGAGTTTGGTTGTTTTTTTTAAGCAATACAATAAAATAAGATTAGCCAGTTTATCTGGCTGAATTAGACTTTTCCAGTTACAAAGTTAAAATTTCAAATAAATACTGTATTTTTCACTTCTTTTCTTGTAGATGATGGACATGGTATAGACATAAATAGCTGCCATACTTCACCTCAGGTGACGCTATGTGCCAAAGTTTACTTAAAAAAAAAAAAGGATCTTAGACAATATTCCATTTATAGGGAGTTTTTGAAAATAGCACTAATATGCCTGGCTAACTGGCTATCTGCAACATCAAAGTGAACATGAAATTCTAACAATAAGAGGTTTACCAAAGAAATTTGTTGATGGTACAATGGTTACTGTGCTTTTAGTGGAAAGTCTAATAGACATAAGCAAAACTTGTTCTGGGTCAATTTCCCACAACCAATTTTCTGTCACAAATTTGTGTCAAATCTCTATTTCTTTCTGTCTAGACTTTGAACCTAGATTAGTTTGAGAAATGGAATCACTCTAAGGAAACTACATAAATTTTAGTGGTATTTAATGTATATTAAGTGGTATGTGTGTGTGTGTATAAATAAAATGGATGTTCAGGATAAAATGGTATATCAAAAAAAATTGAAAACATTTAGGAGGGAGGCAAGGGAAAACATCAATATCAAAAATATTAAAAATGGTAAATGTAAAGCAGGGAGCATCCTATTCACGCCACCAGATATGTCTTCATTAAGTGTACTCTTTCCAGTTGGTGTGAACAGCCCAGATGAATAGAAGAGAAGCCGTGAACTGTAAGGGAGTGGAAACACAAGCCAGGTATAAGGACCATCCAGATTCACCAGACACATCCTTGGGTAGCTCTAGATTGTGCTGGAGTAGGCCAGCAACCAAACAACTTCCTAAGCCCAGTGTACACAGACCTGCCAGGAGACGGAGAATGCCCTTGGCATGGTGCGGGGGGGGGGGGGGGGGGGGGGGGG